ACGATTACCAAATATTGTCTACTGTATATCATATTTATCAGTCCGAGCAGCATTTATTTATTAAATTAATTTGTGTGTGTTTTTACATACGTGTTTTAATGCATTACTTTTATAATTGTTGCGTCCTGGTCCCATATTTTTACGTTAACACAATCTCTGAACATTAATTTTTTTTCAGGAGACATTTTTTATCGAGGAGAAGAGTTATTCCACTGCCACTCATGAAAGCAGATCCAGAAAATAACCCAGAAGCATTATTTCAAAAAGGACAGGTAAGCAAGGTATAATATGAAATACTTCCTTGAATGGCACCTAATGCCTTTTATAATAGTCCATTCACAAGAAACACTGTGATCTCAAAATTGACATTACATCATGTGACATTACATTATTATTTGCATTTCTCAGCATGACAGAATAGTAATCTCATGTAATGATATCAGTGTAAACATTTTAACTGAATAATAGAGTTTTTGGTTCTCAAATTACTTAGCTACTGTAGAATACTTTATTTTCGCTTGGAATTAATTTTCCCTATGTTCGCTGAAGGAATAAATCGATAAAAATAAAATCCAGCGAATATAACTTTTTTTTCCTATATTTTACATTCAACTCATCAAAAATCACTGCAAATAAATTCCATACAAAACACCCAAAATGTCTTTTCAACGAAAATTAATTCCAGCTAAAATAAAGTATTTTACAGTCTTTCGTGCATGCGGGTGGTCTATAAAACTGAGGCGAATAGGGCCAACAAATGACTGGTTGTAAAATCTACTTCCTTTCTTTCCTGAGCATGCTCAGTAGCATATCAACTTGGAAGCTCAACCAGGGAACTCAAACTCATCTATTGGCTTTTTTTTCAAATATTATTTCTTGAATATTGATTACATTGTTTACTCTGTCCTGGCAAGTATACCATTGGGCAGTCCAGTCATAATTTTTAGTAAATTCGTTAAAATGGTACAATGTGTTTCAGTGTTGAAATGACTTTTTACGTTTGTGTTATTTCAGCTGGTTCTTGCATTGTACCCGCAAACCACTTGTTTCTATAGAGCCCTCATCTATGAACCCCCAGCCAAGGTAAGTGTGTCCAGGAACTGTTGTACTAAGAATAATTTTCAGTGCTGTGTAGTCTCGGAAATTGTCTTGAGTTAATGAATGAAATGAACAACAACTGCAACACAGGGAAGCCCAGTGTGTGAATGTGTTGAAATGTACTTTACCAGTGCATAATGGAGATGTACTTTAATAGTACAGTGCTGTACAGGTACACAGTGAAGGTACTTCACAACCTATTTAGCACATTCACTGCTATCGCTTCTAAATCCTGTCAGAATGCAAGAGGGTAGTTGGTGCTATGCAGTGATGCGCTATTAAAATGACCTGTTTCACACCAAGCATTTTTTCCCCCTTTTTCCCTTCTCTTGACATTATTTTCTTAGGCCCTTAGTTGTAATATAGTAAATTGTGCTGTAGCAGCGGACATGTTTGTCCAGATTTTGTGTAAACCAAATGATTCGACCTACACATGTCCCCAGACGTGTTAAGCATAGTATCAAAACCACATTGAACACATAATGACCACCATCCTTTGATGTAATCAAACTTGTCTGAATTATAAACAACAAGTACTCAACCAAAGCAATATCAGTGAAATCATGCATGCCCCCAGTGCCAGTGCCATTTATTCTAACCTTTCTAATTTATCTCACAGCCACAAGACGACTATTCTGTATTATTTGAAGACACTTCTTATGCAGATGGATATTCACCCCCACTGAATGTGGCACAGAGATACGTTGTCGCCGTCAAAGAGTCAAGAAAAAGATGAAACAAAACAGAATTAGGCATTATGCGGCATTCGATCAAATTGTGTAAACAAACAATGTACGTTACACAACACCTATTGCTGATCTAACATACATGTATATGTTCTTAGCCATAAGATTGAGGTCATTCTGTGACTTAATAGCCATAAACATAACTGGACATATAAGGCTGTTGACATTGATCATCACAGTGATGTCATCCATTTTCTCATTGATCACGAAAATATACTTGATCAAGTCCTTATAGCAGTATAAGTTGAACGATGAACAAGAATTTGAGTTCAAGATGATTTTATCTTTGTTTTAACAACATTAAGTAATAAACAAATATTTATCATAAACAAAGCATGTGCAACAAATGATTGTGTGTGTATGTTAATTTCTCAGTTTCATTCAAAACAGTTATACCGGTATCACGGTTACTCAAATAAGTAACCATGGTTATATGGAAGTTAATTGATACATGTATCAGGACTGTGTTAAAGCGCTGTGATCGTCGCACAGCACGTTTTTGAATTTCATGTAAATAAACAATGTATTTCACACGCGTTGGATACGTCGCTATGAGTCCCATATCGAATCGGATGTGGCATGATGACTGCCGCCCTTTAATATTAATTCTGATAACACCCTTGTGAGAAAGTGTTAACACAGTCCCAAGGTGAAATCTGTCTACATGCCCCCAACAGAAGCTTTGATTTTCATATAAAGACTACCGGTAGCACCAACTTGTAGTGCTTATTTACACTATATCAACATGACAAAGAAAAATATGGTATTTTCATCCTACCATATAAGAAAATTCCAAATATGTAAGCATCCTCTAATAATAAAATTAAACATGGCTGCCACCGGGTTTGAATGGACTCCATACAAAGAAGTTCGCTGATTCTTTTCTAAACTTTTTGGATTTTGGCATTCCCATGATGTATCCTTGGAAGGAAAAGATGTATAATAATAAGGTTATTACGAGGATACCTTAAAGTATGCACTCAGACAGTACGCCGTTGCATCGACCTCCGCTTCGCGTTGGCCGTTACTTACGTTGTACCGTCTTAGTGCATACTTTGAGGTATTCTCGTAATAAAGTCATTATTATACTAGTCATAAATTAAGAGTAATCATTTTGGTGCTACAGTTTCATCAATATTATTCTGTTCTGATCAACAACACAATCACACTTATTAACAATGAGCACAATCTGTTGCTAACATGAACCTGCAAGCACTGCACTTGGTGGCCAACAAGCAACACTTAAAATGAATAATTACTCACAGACCTTTACTTCACAACATAGCTATTGGTTCTGGCTAAATCTAGTTGTTCAAACCCAGCTTCATTGACAGGTGCTTGAAGTTCTCTACTAGTAATCAAATTCTCTCTGTTCAAATGTACCATTTTCATGTTTGATTTTCACACAAGTTACTGTGAAACATGTTTAAATACCGTAGCTACATGCCATTTTAGCAAATTTGACTCAATACATGAAATAACTGAATCTTAATTTAGCTAAAGTGTCAACAAACTCATTGTGAGAATATACTTTATGTTAAATTAGCGACATCTTGAATTTAATAACGAAATTACAGATTAGCTAAATTAGCTAAAATAACATGCTAGCTAAAAAGTCCTGTTTTACAGTATTTGCTTGAAATCTTACTATTTTGAATAAAACTTAATTGTTGATTAATGACGGAAGTTACCCCCATTAGTATTTCTATGCATGTTTTGCTACTCCGATATCTTTTAAACCAAGGGATACGCATTAATCAATGTAATACGTGTATCAGGGCTGTAAGGCCACCATTTTCAAAAGCAGCTCTCATGGTAATTTGTGCGATTTCAAAGTTTCTCATTCTCTCTTCGAATTGAATGAAAAATTCCTGTACACAATATTCAAGATCATACTCATATGCAAAAAAACAAACAACTTGGAGACAGTGGCAAGAATCCCGCTTAGCAATGTAAGATGTCATTTTCAGAAATTAAGGATAGTGTCGAATTTCTCTAGAGGCTTATCAAAATTTAACAAGCCAGTCTTGCCATCTTTTTAGTTGGCTCTTCAGGCTATTTTATACCAAATAATGTTTTGTTTGCTTTGCCAATATTTATTTCTGAGGCCATTGGCCAAACAAATTAAAAAGCATCTCTTGTTTCCAAGTGTATTCTCAGACCTGATACATTAGAAAATATTTCAAGTACATGTAACATTTTTCGGCAAAGATTTCATCCGATAACTTACGATATTACATTTTAGTTCTTCATCACTAGCCATAAAACTATGAATATGAGGATGAGTAGGTGCGGCAATTAAACTTCAATTGAAATGGTTTCTAGTGTTGAGATAAAAAACGTGCAGGTGAGAGTGAATCCTCCTGATAAACCCCTCACAAAATTTAGTTTGATTTAAGTGCTACTCAACTATAAATTGTGACATGTACAATAATTTTTGGGGCGTTCTTACTACCCAGTACAAATCATGGTTTCAGGAAGAAAAAAAACGTGTGACAAAATGGGCAATTTTGAAACAATTGCTGAACTTGAAGGAGCCAATGAAAAGTAAATAGTATTCCCCAGGTTCTCATCATAATTCAGAATTACCAATCTTATAACAACATACTGTATTATTTTTTTACAATATATCACTGGACATGATATCTTTTTCCTGTTAAAATCATAGTAAAATAGCTCAAACATCACCATGGTTTTTAACCATTTTTACGTGAAAAGTAAAAAATGTTTTGTTTTGTTCTTGTGAACAACAACATGAAATAAAACCCAGGTGTAAAAATCGTAGAAGTCTGAATAACCTGAATAATATTCATAAGTTCATAAGATAACGTACGTTACCGGTAGAAGTCACGTGGTGTTCGTAAACAACACGATCGCAAGCACATGCCGTAGAGGGCAGAATGCAGATCTAGAAAAGCATACAAATAATGTAGATGTCTCAAAATTTTATTTTAATGTATTGTTGTATTCATTATTATAAATTCAATATATTATAGCTATTTGCATTTTACATTTAGATTATTAATAGCCACAGCTCAATGTGTTGATTTCCCTTGTAATTCATCAATAATAAACTACACCCTAGTGTACTCAACATGTGCTGTATAATTTCAACCGTAACTTTCAACTTCAAAACCGTGGTTTGTAGTTCCACGCTTAAAGCACTGGTTGGTCCAGAAATTCGGTAAGGGGGCGCGCGCACCTATTGTTGTGGCCGAAGTAGACCTCCGGTGGGCTGGGTTTGCGGGCTGGCCTGGCGCCCCCTAAATCCGCGCGTGTAAAGCGACCTGACGATAAAGCAAACCCTTTTGCAAAAATCATCAGTGAATAACATTTCACACAATGTGAACATGACGGATTTAATGATATGCAGATGACTCCTCAAGGGTGTATACAAAACGAAAAACGCACAACACAAATTACAAACGTGTCTTTCCTTATTGGAAAAATATACTCTATAACTTGTCCAAGTACAATGTCTACCAGTATTTGTGACTTTGTCAACACCCCTTAGGTTAGGTATTACTTTCTATGAATGAATGTACCTTAATCACTACAAACGGAATACCTTATTGCTGAGCGTGTAGTATTCATATGGTGAACACAATATATGTAGAACATTTGAAACGCTACCACATCTTCGTAAACATGTATTTACGTGTTGGTATAAATAAATGGCTTTTTCTTTTGTAGAAAAAAAAATAGAATCATCGAAACGAAGGTTTCGACGAAATACTGATTTTCGGTACCTCCGCTTTGTAACTTGGATAAGATTGTGTGTATGCATTTTGCTCTATAGACTCGTATTGTGGCTCACATCATTTGGTATTTTTTTTTATAAAATTACTTTCACATTATCTAATTTAAGATTATCACTCCATGTCAAAACTGAGTTTTCTCATTGGCACCAAAGTTTATAGCTTTGAAAGTATCTTGAATGATTTTGTAGAATATTATTAATTGAATGTGGAAAATTTACATAAATTAAAAGGCGGCAGTCGTCGCGCCACGCATGCGCGAGATGTAGGGGTCTCATATAAACAAAAATGGTGACTTCGACTGTTGCGCAGAACAACGAGTACAAACTGAGACGTTACCAAGCTTTAATTAGGTATTTTTTTAGTGACTGGAAGATATCAGAGTCGAAAGAGTCAACCGGCAATAATCAGTGCAAGTCGCGCCCAGGTCAAACCTCAAACTTGTGATTTCCATTAGAAGAGCGCAATGGATTATGGGAAAATCGATGTTTATCAACACAAATGTCGCACATGCGCAGCGCAACGACCACCGCCCTTTAAAATGTAATCAAGATACTCAACAGTTTTATACATTGAATACTTATAAAATCTTTATTGAAATAATATCCTTTGTGGGGTCTTAAAAAATAATACAATAAATAAAAAAAAAATAATAGCCACTAGTTTATACACAACTTTTATTGGATTGTCCGAAGCCATGATACATTCTACGTCACTGTAATAGAGATACATTACTCCCATTACCTTGACTACTCGTATATTAGAATGTATACATTCTTAAAACTAGTTTACGAATATACACTCAACGCAAACAATAATAAAACATTGTTTTCAGCAGTTTCTAATCCCCCACATACAGACTATAAACACACGTAAAATACTCAAAGGTGGGCTTGGGGTACTATGTTGTGATGCAGTATAATATATGGAGAATTTAGATGTAGGATTATGCAAATCCTCTATTGTTATTCTGAGTGGGATATTTTGCGTAATATTCATATTTGATGGTAATATTATGTAAAAATGTACGATGTTGTATGTGTTTATATCAACCCCAATATTTCTTTTGAAAGAGCTTTATGTTTTTGCGATTATGTTTACGTTCGGGAACAATGTTTATTTTTGCGTAGTTCTGTTACGATTATTAATAACTATTTGAAATATACACAATGAATATGCTTATTCGGGCTAATTAATGCGGGTGGTATCACTATACCATGTTATGTAACCATTTCATTCCCTTTGGGGTTCATTTTGAGCGTTTTAAATGAAGCTACACGAGTTAACCTATTTGATGTGGATACGTCACCCGCTCGCCGGAAATTCCTCTTCCGGGAGGCACTTGGCCGGAATATTATGCCTTGTCATTTCAATGTGACTTGGATAATGAACTAGTTCATGTACCTGAAAAATATTGTAGTGGAGTAGTTGGGTATTAGAAACTCTGGGCATGGTTTATTAAAATTTAATTAGAACAACTAACAATCTGACAGGGAAATGATAAAAAAAAAACATTAAAATATTAAAGATGATGACAAAACAACATTGTTTTTATTTTAACAGATGACATTTATTCTGGATGACATTAAATAATAAATATTATTACATTACATAAAAGTAAAAAGGCGAATTGCAGAACAAATGAAATAAAATAAAATG